TCCCTCTCACCATTCAGGCTCCAGATCAAATGTCACCTCCTCTGAGAGACCTCTCCTGACCTCCCACCCAGAAGCGTCACTACCACCCAAGGAAACTCCTCCCCCAAGCCTGTTTCTATCACATCACCTAGCTTGTATTACATGCCACCCTCATTTAGTTACAAGTCGCAGAAGACGAGAATTTTGTCTTTTGTCTAAATGGCCACTGTTTTCCGAAGTACCTAAAGCAGCACTAGGTACACAGCCTGTGTTCGATACTTAGCACTGAATGGATAATGGCAATTTCTGAAAATATCTCCAAGTTACCTGGAGCCAAGCAAGCCCAAAGAATAATTTAATAGTTGGACTCAAAGGTATGTTTAAAAATGATGACAACAATCTTTCTTTTGTAGAACACAAACAGGCTCATTTATTTAACACTTAGTTATTATACAACACAATTAACTCTTCCATCTTATTTGACCTTTGGCTAAGGCCAACTATGAGAGCAGACATTATCCTAAAGGGGTACTCCTGAAGTAGTATAAGCCATAGCCGCATCATCTGAGAAAGTACAGCTCCAAAGTGAATACTTTGGAGAGGATGCTCTATCCAGCACCTTAGTAGTATTTTTATAATTATTTAAAATATGCTGCTTTCATAGCCTCATCAGAGTATCCCTTCAATATTACTCAAGTTCCAAGCATGGAATATTGTCTAGCAAAGCTGAAAGTTCAACAGTTAAGCTGACGATTCCAAGAGACTATAATAATTCTGCCATGAGCTGGTCACAGCACAGTGCAGGTGGGGAAAAAGAGATGATTCTAATTTCGGAGTTGCAGTATTTTCTAAATATTGGTTTAGTGTGCCCTAGTGACTATAATTCTGAAATAAGCAGATTTTAAAAAAAACAAACATTGCACAGAATGATTCTTTTTGTTTGCTTTCATTCAAGAACAGAAATTCTTCAATAATCTTACAAATTTCATTGCTTAATAGCATGATTAACATTAGTTCACTTAAAAAAAAAATCTAAACGCCTTTTTTCTTTTATTTTGACACCTCCACCTTTTCTCCAGAAAACAAACAAAACACTTCCTAATATATCTAGGTTACTAACATAGTTATGAACACCAATAATCCTGGATCCCCAATCATTTGATCAGATAAGTTGGAAGTGAGAACAGTGCCTGCTTTCCCAGTGACGCCTGAGAGTGGGCACGGAGAGTCAGTGAGAACGGGATGTCCCCGTACGTTCTGTGGTGCTGCCGGCTTAATGCAGACCTACCCGTGTATAACTAACTGATCAGCACAAACATTCGTTCTTTGTTGATAGGAGCGGGGGGGGGGGGGGGGGGGGGGGGGGTAATGATCTCAGTGACGAGTAATTTATAAGCTTTGCACATTAGGGTGACTTCTACCACTTCTTCCATAATATTTATTAGTAAACAGCACTCTAAGAGGTGTCATTAAAATAAATGATCCAGGTAAAACACTCCCACGTAATATAAGCTAACATTTAAAGATAAGACAGAAAGAAGCACCTTGAGAAGGAGAACTATAAATAATTTCCTTAGGCTAAATATTTAAATGAACTGGCCTAAGTAGGCCACTTCTTCAGATTTAATTCTAGGACATACGATGATTTTACATTACAATCAACTGAAAGAATGGGGCTTCCTTTGCCAAGATACTTAAAAACCAATAAAGTTTTGAGTAAAAGTTGAAACTCAGGCTCATTTAAAAAGTATCAGACTCTGCCCAGCCTTTATTGACTTTGTACCATTTCTTCTCATTAAACTTCTGGGATGATCCCAGTCCCAGCCTTTATATTCAGATATTTTCCAAAGCTTTCCATGTAAGCAAATACAAACTGCAAATTGCTATAATGGTTAATTTCTGACTCTTAGTCTAAATAAGTACTGATGATTTCTGACACAGAGACAAGAAAAATAAAGGAGGGTACTTTCTAGTAAGAGCTTGGCAATTTTGGGGTAAGGGTTGGGAAGGAAAAAGAAAGTTAGCAACAATAATGCCTACGACTGCTGTATAGTCTCATAAATATTAACCAATTATCTCTTTTGAGAGACTGACCAAAGAATTGATACACATAAATTGTATCTGGCTGCACAGAAAGGGAACTGGCTACAATTATATAAAGGACATAATAACTATATTAAAAAAAAAAAAAAAAAAGGAAACACTCTATACTTTGCCCTGAGAACTCAGCAGATCTAAACCCTGGAGGAGGACTCCAAAGCCAGGACCCCTCGCAGCAGGAGTGTCCAACCTGCAGCCCGCGGGCCCCACGCAGCCCAGGACGGCTGTGAAAGCGGCCCAATACAAAATTGTAAATTTACTTAAAACCCTGAGATTCTTTTTGTGATTACGTGTCACAATGTAGTTAATGTGCGGCCCCAGACAACTCTTCTTCTAGTGTGGCCCAGAGACACCAAAAGGTTGGATACCGCTGCTAAAGCAACATTCCCTCCCCTAAACTTAGGGGCAAGCAGCACTGACGTCCCAGCTAACCACGTACTTGAAGAGCCCAACAGAAGGAATTCCTCACTTGAGAACTAATTAGAGCTTCAACTACAGAAAGTAAAAGCAGTAACTCTGCATGTATTTTTTTCACACATACATCCTTCTACCACCTGGTTAACCAGCCCCCTCCTTAAAATTCTGAACAGATATAAGTTAATACAGATTCTCCACAGCTTATTTCCTAGTGCTAGGCCTTTCTGTTTTCCTTCTCACACATTATTCCACTTTTCTAAGGATTCCCAAGTACTGGTAACTCTGAAAGGAAAAGCATTATGACCTGGATTTAAAAAAAAAAAAAAAAAGTAAAAATAACTCTGTAAGTCACATTTTTCCCTGACATTCAAAGTGCATTATATCTCCTTGGCACTGTACGTGCCTCTCTACCAGTTAAGTGCATGTCAAAGAACCCAAATGCTGACACTAGATCAAATTAACCTGTGAGCACTAAGAGACTTAATATACTAAGTCCAAAACGACGACTGCACTTTACAAATTAATTGGAACACTGATTTCATCCGGTCTCCGTAAGTGTGGTTCCTTAATCATGAAGATACGTTTCATCTGGACACGTACCACTACCACCAACCTCACCGCCCCCCACAGCCCCCTTACCTACCCAGGTTCAGTATCACTCTCTCCTGGACCACTCGCCCTTTCCTCTTCGCCTCCACTAGGCCCTACCTACATCCCTTCCCTAAATCAATTAGGAACATAACACAATTATTTTCTAGCTTATTTTATATATAGCAAATTAATAGTTTTTGTAAAGAAAACACTACATATGTCACAAGATATAAGTATATCTGTTAGAAACCCAGGCACCTCTGATTTCAGCAGTTTAACTCATTTATCAGAACTACCCATTTCTCTGAGTAGCAAAATTGTCATAGAAAATGATCTAAGGCCTGAACAACTACGTAAGCCTGAAATCTGATGGAAACCCTTATGGGAAGGTGCAACTTTGACACTCTGGATCTGAAGCTACTTCTCTGGCCTAGATCAGATCTCACAGCCTCTCTTCCCCTACTCACAGGCCCCCACACACAGCTGCTTCCTGCTGGTGCTGCTGCCTCCTCCCATTCGCCTCCATGGAGAGCTCCTCCTCCTACTCTTATTGCCAAGTGCGAGGCAAGCTCTTCAATTCCCCCTTCCTCACTACCCCCAAGGACACTGACCAGGGCCTTTTATAGTCTAAAGGGCTCTACCGACCACTATAAAAAGTACAAGGTGTAAAACCCTGGGGAAGTTACAGAGCTTTTACAGAATTATTACAATTGTGGTGCTTGGAGATGTGGTTCTGTTCTCTACCAGCTATCAACTGGCTAAACAAACCTCCTCCTTCTTCAGATATAATTAATCTAAGCAGATGACTCTGGACCTTCAGAATCTGAGAGCCAGTAAAATTATTTAAGAAAAGAGAAAGAAAGAAAAAGGGAAAGTATAACTGACACATGGTTTAATATTTTTCTAGTAAAGGATAATAAAAAGAGTAAAAACTCACCTTCTGCCATGCCCGTACCACAAATAAGATAGATTTTTATCACACATACACACACACAAATCCATCACTTAAACTATAATTAATTTACCTTTAAAAAAATCCTATATTGTTCTTGTTTTCTTACTTTGTTATGGAGAAATGAAAACCGACTGCATTCAGGGAACAGTGGTGCAGGAGACCAGGGATTTAACTTGGTCCCACATTCAGCCATGGTGAGAAGACAAAATTACCTCTACCTCATCGATACTGTTTTAAAAATATTCAATCCACAGCAATCCCCTCTTCCCAAATACATGGAATAAATATTATTCCTAGAAAAGAGAAGAAAGCTGGAGCTTGAACCTAAAACCCTCTCGGACTATAACTCCATGTTAGTAAACTGTTCAGATACTAAAGGAGGGAAAGGCATTCTTTTCGAGTCCCTGAACATCACTTCTAGGTGTGTGAAAAGAACTATTAGTTCAATACCATCAAGAAGTGACAAATTGGGTCAAAAGCTGATTTAAAAATCTTTATTATACAGTTAAAACTGTTCCAAAAACCCAAACTATATCTGGACTTACTTGGCCTTAATAAAGAACAGCTGGGCAATAGGACTCATTCTTTAAAACTAGGCCAAAAGGGGGCAGAATATCTTAAATTGTGCACATCCCCCAAAATTTGTCTGCAAAAGTCAAAGCTACTTAAAACTAAAATTTATAAAGCTGAAATATTCTATTTTCCTCAGTAAATATGTAAATAGCAGTTCAAATGCCTTTCTTTTCAGAAAACCCCTTAGCAAACTCTCCTATGGTGCCTAAACCTTCAACAGAACTTAATCGAAATACAAATGTGGGTCATCTCTTCCCTCTGCAGTGCAGCAGGATATTATGAAAGCCATTACTTGAAAGAAAAAAAAAAAAAATCCAAGCAAGAGGTTTACGTGGGAAATTACAATGTATTATAAACTTTTAATAAACAAAAGCATTTTACTCACGATGATCCCTGCTGAGAATTAGGATGGGTTTTTGAAGCTGTGTCATATTGTTCTGTGAGGGGAGGGAAAAGTGGTTAGAGCAGCACAATGACATATATTCATGAGATTTTTAGTTACAAATTCCCTTTTTTGCTGTCTCCCCTTACCTTTTCATCTGAACACTTAGTATATTTTACATTCTGTCAGCCAGAGTGCTAAACTCTGCACTTGGTATAATCTCACCAGTATTTACATTACTTCTAGAGAGAGGGCTTGCTAAGAATTCAAAACCCTTAACAGAACAAAAACACTCTGAAAAGCACTGCTTGCAGCAGGCCCTGCCACACTGCTGGTGACTTCCTGTGCACAGGAGACTTTCCTTCCTTGATGTCAGCTGGTGGGAGCTCCAATGGAAGCACCATGACAGGGGTGCTCTCCCTGCCCCTCACCTGGTTTGATCTCTCATATCAATCGGTGACCTGTAAGCACTCGACTGACAGCCTCTATCCTTGACCAATCATGCTCTTCCTCCCACCTTTCCCTCCGTTAAAATTTATATACTTAACAGGTTATGTATAGACTGCCTAGTAAACAGGATGTTCAAAGCATTTGATACTGTCCTCAATGAGCTTACAGCTGAGTGTGGGACATCAAACAGGGGTACAAACACCTACAAGCTGAAGCAATGTGAAATTAAGTATACAAATCAATCATAAATTAACTGTCCCAGGGATCTAGAGAATGATCCTTCTGTTGGTAATGTTAAACTTTTTCTTTAACAGTCAGATAGATATGTGTATTTTTTCCAATTATAATAAATATTTAAAGTGCTGTGATGTTGTGATTTATAAGAAATATGTATTTGTTCATTCAAATAAATATATTTCTCACATGTAGTTAGCCTTCATCCACATTTCCTGGCTCACAGCTCCAGAAATCCTCCAAACAAGTATTTTAAACTTTGCATGCTGTACCTTGTGGCTTTTAATAAATAAATGAGTATGGCTGTGTCCCAATAAAACCTTCTTTACAAAAACTAGCTGCAGTACAAATTAAAAAGGGAACAAAATGAACTGTGTCACAAAGATTGGGTGAAATTTGGACAGAATGACTTCTGGCAGGAGGGTAAAAAGAACTTCAGGCAGATGAGACAATGTGAACAAGGTACCGTGTGAGAGGAGTCAAAGTGGCACAGACTTGGAGAGGGTAAGGCTGGGGTGCAGAATCTGCCGAACAGCCTGGGAACACAGGTGGAAGTCGGATTTTGGAGGGCTCTGAAGGCCAGGATGGGAAGCTCTGACTTTACCTGCTGGGCAATGACACACCACCAAAGGTCTACACAGGGGCTTGGTATAGCGATTTCTCAGAAAGATTATCCTGGAGGTTTGGCCTAGTATAACCTAGAAGGGAGCGGGTAACATAAAGTGTGAAGGCAACGGCCAGTTAAGAGGCTACTGATTTTGTCTAAGCACGAGGTCACAAGGACCTGAAACAGAACTTGGAGTGGAATGGAAATACAGATGACTTTTAGGCAAGGGTGAGTGATATTTTTCAGAAATGTCGTGTGGAGACCCCTGAATATTTGTAATTAATCAGTTTATCCTCATGGTGGCAGCAGCCCTTACATGACAGTTTAAAATTGCTTCCCCTTCTGGCTAGAAAGCTAGGGCCTGGATGACAAATTCGGGGGCTTAAAATCGCCCCTCTGACCACTCACAGGGACTCCCATGCGGTCCTCTTGACTGGACCCTAAGCTCCACGAGGCTCTGGCCATCCTTAAGCGGCCACGATTTGCACATGTAGGCTTCATTCTCTAGACTTTACAAGACTCCAAAACCTCATGATCGATCACTCTTCAAGATGTTTAAATTCTCTTGCTAGGCGTACTTTAAGAAATACATGTCAAGCTCTACCTTACTGAAAGCTATATCCACAGAAACTCTACTCCCTCTTCATCCAAAGCACAACTAGACCCCTTTAGGGTCCAACTAAGTGCCACAAAGGCCGCATTCTCACCAAGGCAAACGGTTCCACAGAACACCAACAGAGAAAGCAGCAGCAGCAAGACCCCAGGGTAAACATCTGGTGAGCCAAGATCTACAGGAGACCTGCCGGTGTCTGAAAATTTCTCATCAGAGCAACAAAGAAACTGCCCACATGACTCCACAGGCCGACAGGACCACCCACCCATACCTGTACAAGAAAGCATTTACTAGTCCATCTTCAACTACACATGTTCAAGGACAGAAAGGTCTTTCTAAACCAGGAGTTAGCCATCAAGCTGTGAGTAGCCCAGTGGAAGGGACAGAATCTGCACGGCGGGCAGCCTTGCAGTGGAGGGGAAGCAGCGCGCAGCAGACCTGTCCGCAGGGACGCTCCACCTAGTACCTATTTCTGGACAGCGATTTCCCAGTCTCCCCAGGCAACCATCGGTTTCTGTTCAGTTTACCTTGCTGCTTATACAACACTGGCAAGATGGTTGGGCTTATTTCTCTGCATTTGGGGAAAATTTAGTTAGAGTTCTTTGTAGACCATATTCAGTATCTCCAGGGCAGGGGGCCGAAAACTTTTTCTTTAACAGTCAGATATATATGTGTTTTTTCCCTAATTATAATAAATATTTATTTAAAGTGCTGTGATATTGTGATTTATAAGAAATATGTATTTGTTCATTCAGATAAATATATTTCTCACATGTAGTTAGCCTTCATCCACATTTCCTGGCTCACAGCTCCAGAAATCCTCCAAACAACTATTTTAAACTTTGCATGCTGTACCTTGTAGCTTAATAATATATAAATGGGTATGGCTGTGTCCCAATGAAACCTTCTTTACAAAAACTAGCTGCACAACAAACTGGGCTCTCAGGCTGCAGTTTGCCCACCCCTGCTATGGAGGAAGGATGTTCTGTTTCTGCTTTTTTCCTCTTTTTACTCTCCTCACATCCAACTTAATAGAATAATCAAAGGCGGCAGCGGGAGGCAATGTAAATGAGGGAAAAGAATGAGGTAGGGAGATAAGAAGGAAAAGTCACCTCCCTGGAATATCCGTCTCTGAGCTCCCTCTCCCTGCTGCGCGCACTCGCACAGCCTACTTTGGTCTCCCCAACATCTGAAGACTAAAACTTCGTAACTTAGATACTTACCACATCGTATTAATGAACTAAATGATTACAAATACCATATCCAATTTTGTAAGGCATAAAATACCTTGCACGTAGTTGGGATACAAAGAATTTACCAGGGTTACTGATGAAGAGAAAAGCTGGAAACAGTTACCCTTCTTCTGTTTCCCCCTTAATGTTCAACTATTTACCATCCATTAAAGGGGTTCAAAAACTAAGTACAAAGTGGACACATATAGAGGGGCTGAAGAAGCAATGTGCTATATTCTTTATAAGTTTCTTACTTTTATGTAAAAAGAAAATACAAGAACCACACAAAATTTCCCACCTTATTCTTATACAGGGGTTGGCAAAAATAGGTCTACAGTCTGTGTATGGAAAAATACATGCAGGTACAATTATTACAATAGCTTTATTAACTAAGAAGAATATCACTGGCAACTTTAAACTTTTGCTCACCCCCATATGCAATTCCTAGATTATAATGCTTTGAGAGCCTCATGCAAGATATTGATGTTTCTGGTAATACCAAATGCTATTTGCTAAGGACTTTACTAAGACAGCTTCATGAAGTCTTCCCAACAATTTGAAATTCCACCTAAAGAACAGCTTTATGTTTGCCCTGCCATTCCTAGTCTTTGAATGCAGGAAACCCTTATCTCTGCTGGGGCATTTTTTAATTAATGGGATTTTTTTAATATTAAAAGAGTTAAAATCATGTTTTGTTCTTTAGTGTAATAATCAGTTGCATACATTTACTTACTTTGGTTTTGGGTTGCAGAACTGATATGCTGAGAATCCTAGAAAGAAAAATAAAAATCTCCAGTTATTAAGACTTACAAATCTAAGGATGAATCATGGCTAAGTATGTTAAACACTGATAAATATAATTCTTATGTAAAGTAGGTTTTATTACTTCCCTTTCTTTCTTTCTTTTTTCCCCAATTAAATCTCTAGCAACTCAGTCACCATGGCCTTCACAAAAGTAATTTTGCAGAGCGTATTTCTCTTATACTCATCTGCAATTTCTTTTATAGATTTTTTTATTGATTATGCTATTACAGTTGTTTCATTTTGTCTTCCTCTTTATTCTCCTCTGCCCTGCTGCCCCTCCCACCAGCATCACCCCCACCCTGCCCCACCTTAGCTCAGGTCCACGGGTCGCACACATCAGTTCTTTGGTGTCTCCATTTCCTGTATGATTCTTGTCCTCCCCCTATTTTGTACCTACCAATTATGCTTCTTATTCTGTGTATCTTTTCCCCCATTCTTCTCCAGCCCCTTCCCTGCTGATCTCCATTTCTGTGAGCATGTTCCTGTTCTAGTTGTTTGCTTAGTTTGTTTTGGTTTTGGGGTTTTTTTAAAGCTTCAGTTGATAGTTGTGAGCTTGTCATTTTACTGTTCATAATTTTTAATCTTCTTTTTCTTAGATACGTCCCTTTAACATCTCATGTAATAACAGCTTGCTGACGATGAACTCCTTTAACTTGACCTGATCTGGGAAGCACTTTATCTGCCCTTCCATTCTAAATGAGAGCTTTGCTGGACAGAGTGATCTTGAATGTAGGTCCTTGTCTTTCATGACTTTGAATACTTCTTTACAATCCCACCTTGCACGCAAGGTTTCTTTTGAGAAATCAGCTGATAGTCTGATGGGAACTCCTTTGTAGGCAACTGTCTCTTTTTCTCTTGCTGCTTTTACGATTCTCTCCTTATCTTTAATCTTGGGGAATGTAATTAGGATATGCCTTGGTGTGTACTTCCTTTGGGTCCAACTTCTTTGGGACTCCCTGAGCTTTCTGGGTCTCCTGGAAGTCTATTTCCTTTGCCATATTGGGGAAGTTCTCATTCACTGTTTGTTCAAAGAAGTTTTCCATTTCTTGCTCTTCCTCTTCTCCTTCTGGCACCCCATGATTTGGATGCTGGAACATTTAAAGTTGTCCCAGAGGTTCCTAAGCCTCTCCTCATTTTTTTTGAATTCTTGTTTCTTCATTCTGGTCTGGCTGAATGTTTATCTTTTCCTTCTGCTCCAAATCATGATTTGAGGCCTGGTTCCTACCCTTCACTGTTGATTCCATATTTTTTTTTCTTTATTTCACTTTTCATAGACTTCACTTTTTCCTCCATTTTATGACCATACTCAATCATTTCTGTGAGTATCCTGATTACCAGTGTTTTGAACTGTGCATCTGATAAGTTGGCTATCTGTTCGTCACTTAGCTCTACTTTTAGAGCTTTGATCTGTTCTTTCATTTGGGCCATATTTCTTTGTCTCAGCACACCTGTTATGTTGGAAGGGGCAGGGCCATAGGTATTTGCCAGAGCAGGGCAACTTGTATGTGGCAGAGGGAACAATGCCACTTGCTCGGCTCTCACCCAACTTCCAGTCACTTCCCCCGCTACCCACAAGCAAATTGGGCCCTTCTGGAGCTGGTTCCCAGGTGGGTGGGCTTGTGTACATTCTAGGACCCTGTGGGCCTCTCCAACGAACTCTCCTGTAAGGCTAGGAGTTTCTCTTGCTGCCACAACCCCCACAGCTTTTTACAGCCAGAGGTTTTGAGACCTTCTTTTCCCGCACTGGAGCCCTGGGTTGCGCAGTCTGTCTCGCTCCCCATCTGTTCCTCCCAGTCTATGTGCACAAAAATGTGGGACCACCTGGTCCTCCAGCCGCTGCCTTGCCACATATCCTCTCAGCCCCAATTGTCCTTCTCCACCCCTCCTACCAGTCTGGATGAATGTTTCCTCTTTAACTCCTTGGTTGTCAGACCTCCATACAGTTTGATTTTCTGACAGCTCTAATTATTTTTTGTTTTTAAACTTGTTGTTGTCCTTCTTTTGGTTGTGTGAGGAGGCAAACTGTATCTACCTACGCCTCCATCTTGGCTGGACTGCTTCTCTTCTTTCTTAAATTCTATTTTTCCTTCAGTGTTGAGCAAAGTTTTTTTTTTCAACAAAGTATATATAATGTTTTACCTTAAAACCAGTAATAATGAATCACCTTTTTAAAAAAAGACTATCGTTAGAAAATATGTAAAGTATCTAATGTAGCAAATACTGGTTTGGGGAGACATGACCTCTTGAAAACAATTACCATGGAAAGGAATAGCTATAATATATTAACAATGTGCATGCCTTGTTAAGCTAGACCAAGCTAGACAGAACACAGACCTGAAGATGATGAGATTGCTATACCCTGAACGCTATCCTAAAGTATGATCCCCCCCCGAAAAAAAGAAAAATGGTAGTGTTCTTATTTTTAATACACTGCTCACAATTACTGCAACAGAAACATGTAAGTCAGCTGTTGGTCTGTTTGTTATTAAAGCCAGCACAAGTGTAGCTGATCATGTTATAAACTTTAAGAAAATTTAAGAGGTGTAAGTAGTGTAAGGTACATGCGTGCACATATGTATGTATGTATGTATGTATATGTATGAGTCTAAATTCTAAACTAGGAATCAGACAACCTGTCTCACTTAATTTTACTGTACCTGTTTCCCCATCTCTAGATAATGACCCTCAAATGAGAAAATTTATCAGAAAGTCCTGAATGCTTTCATAAACTACAAAGCCCTATACAAATGTAAGATGTTCTTACTGACACAATCTGGAGAATAAAGTGTTCGAAAGCATCATGAAGCACCCCAGAAGCCAAATTAATTGAGATTTTAACCCCAACACCAAAGGTTTCAACAAGTAATAACTGACTAATCTGGCTCACAGCAATACCCAGACCTTTCACTGTGGAGGCAGTGCCTGCTACATTTATAAAGCATTACCTTTACCTTTGTGGGAAAAGGAAATTTGGAGGGCTCAGCTGTACTAGGGGTGTGTATTGCTGTCAGAGGAGGAGGCCACGAGTGGGTCATTTCCTGAAAAGAGATTCAGAATGAGAAGAAAAAGTCAGTTATAAATAGAACATTTACTGCTGCTTAACTTTTTAAACAATGTAGAATGAATAGATGGTAAACGAAAAGTGAAACCTTAAAAGTTATTTAGTTTACTTTAAAAAAACTTCTACTTAATGGACTATGTTCAAAAGCTGATAATCTCCAAAATCAGTTCAAAAAAGAAAAACAAGAGCACAGAAGAGGAATGGCTTTAACACTCTGAATATCATAAAGTGTAAAAACGTGATAGGTATTACTAGAGCTTACATAACTGTGAAAACTGAGTATCTGCTCAATGCTTTCTTTCTCCCTCAGCTTCTTTACTACATTTCCTGGAATTATTTAAGTTCAAAGGAAGAAGAACTTTCCTGTTTTACTTAAGCAAACAAGTAATACAGTCGCTTGTTCCTCTTGGGAGAGATTTAATGGATTTGACCCTTCCTTGATACACACTATTAGTACATAAGACCTGTTTGGAGGAGAGAGCCTTAAAAAATTATCTTGCCTTTCCATTAACAGAAGCTTAATTTCTATTCACTCTTCACAGAATCAAGGTTTCTAAATCTTACAAGTTAATACATTTATCTTGACATAAATTCTTTTTTCTCAGCACATTCATGAATTATATTTTACTTTGCAAAAAAAAAAAATCATTGAAAAACACATGCACTTAGTTAAAGAGCTAAAATGGCATTGTAAATCATTAACTCCAACCCTTCTGTCTCAGATGAGAAAACTGAGATCCAAATGACTGGACTTGGGTGCCCCGGGAAGCCAGTGGCTGAGGGCACAGAATATAGGTCTCTTGCCTTCCCAGTCTAAGATAAAAAAAAAAAATGCATTCCCATATGTATACAGCAAAAGTAGAGCAGAGTTTTTGAACACTTTGAACAATCCAATATGGAGTTACTGTCAGCCATGACAGTTATGCCAATTGCTATGTCAAGACTGAGGTAATAGGGGGTACAGGAACACCCAAAACCACAAGTCTGGACGCCCAGAAGAGGACTCCATCTGGACACGGATGTGAGTGGGACCCCTGCCCATCGTGGGCTATAAGAACACAGAGCTCCGACCACCCGAGGCTCAAACTTGGCTGTACCATGGGTCACGCTTGAAACCGTGCCAGACTTCCACTGCACTGGACAGTGTTGCCACTGTAGTCGCCTGGCCTGAGACTCGTCTCAGGTGACACTCGTCTCTCCATCTGCAGACTCCGCCAGTGACTGGGACTTTGCTCTGGACACTTGTTCTGCACACTTCTACTTGCGTGTGACTCTACTAGCTTTTGGGGAAAATCTCCCCTAATGAATGTGACACTGTGGAAAGACACTAACAAGTGTGAGTGACTCCTTTCAGGGCTGCTCCCCTGCTCATGACTCCTGTGTTAGACCTGCCTGGCAAACTGGCTTAAAGACCGACAGGCAACTCTCTACCAGCCATCCAATGACCCTGGTTCAGGCTTTGCTACCTCCTCTCTATAACACGTTGTGTACTGCAACACTTCATTTTCCTCAAAATACTGACCAACCTCTCTATGACCCCGGAAGCACCCACTGATCCTCGCAGCAACTAGACATGGAACTCTAGGTTATTTCCAATCCCAATCTCTGTCCACATCTCCCCCGGCCTGTCCCCACAGCCACTCTCTAGGCTGCTACAGCCTCACGAGCAACATAAATGGCCCGGCACAGTAACAAGCAAAGTAACTGATGCCAGGGTTTTTTGAGTAATTTTTATTAAAGGTGAAAGCATCCCCTTATCCAGCCACTGGTTTGGTTCAGTACAAGGAATTAGTTCTGTACTAAATGTAAGAGCTCTGGAGCCAAAGCCCCAGCCTGGAATCCTAAATCGGACCCCCACCAGCCGTGTGTGCCTGAGTTGTCTGAGCTCTCTGAGCCTCAGTTCTCAGTAACAGGTAGACCAAGATCACTTATTTTCCTAAGTGTTAAGGGTAATTTACATAAAATGCTTGGGTACCTGGTGCATACAAAGCACTTAAAAAATTAAAAGACTAGCTTTTAAAGAACTTCAATACTGCACCAAGGGGAGCTCCTTGCTGTTTTATTTACCTGACTATACGTTAAGCTACTAGACCATTATAATGCTATAATGTAAAAACATAATTAATTCAGAAGCTGTTTGAAGTACCACCCTTAAGTTTTCCAAGAATTTCTTCAGAATTCGTTTAAAATTCCAATTTCTTCAGAATTCCAATCTATGACTTTTAGTCACCAATTATTCCCCAAAAACATCCATTGTGCTCTCAATGCCTAAGGCTGTCCTGGCGATTCAGTTAGGCAGTTGGAATGTGCATAAACTCTTTCAGCTTCTGAGCAGTTGGTTGGTAGTATGAAAAAATTTATGTACTTCCCTGTCTAGTTCAGGAGAGGGATTTAGGCCTTCAGAGAACTGGGACGATAAGGAGAGGAAGCTGCCCAGACTCGCAAGGCCATGAATTTGCTCCGAGCCTTAATAATGACTTATCACATCAGTGGGGGTAAAATAGTTGGCACTGCCCCAGTCCTGGCCTTCTGGGTGACACAGCTGCTGTCTCCGCTCCTCATACCACCTCACTCGATCTGCTCTAAACACAGTCTAGTGCTTGCTGTTCTGGAACACACCAATCTGTTCCCACCTGAAGGTTTTGCACCCTTTCCTCGGCTTAGTAAACTTTCATTTGCCTGCCATATGACTTATACCACTTATCAATATCTGGCATTTTATTATATATTCATCTTCCCCACTTTGACCTCCACAAGAGCAAGGGCTCTCTCTTATTCATATGGCAGTCCCAGTGCCTAGAAAAGTATTTGGCGCTTAATGGGTATTTGTTGAATAAATGAATAAATGAACAAACAAACAATAGCGTTACCGCTCATTGTACCAATGTCACAGGAATGTTGCATTAAGGCAACATATATAAGTTCTGCATTGTTCCCCCAAGAGGCTGTACAGGCTATACCACCTTAAGTAGAAAACCTCAGCTATTTTCATTCACCCATTAAGGACACAATGCCCTGTCTAAACCCTTGTGCATGACTAATTCCTGGTTTCCAGCAGTGTCTGTCTGCTATCTTGTTACTCCATCAGCCTGCAGAAGTTAAGTTTACCACTTCCCCTTCATTAAAACACTTCTATCCTTAATATTTCCCCTAGAGAAGCAAACAGTATCTTCCATGATTGATTTTTCTCTTTTAGAAAACTGTTTACTGACTCTACTGCCCATCAGAAAGGTTTATGTTAGGATTCCTGGAAATCTTCATAAATTGCTGGTACAAGGTAAGAACAGGAACCATGAGGAAGAGCAAAGTATCTGGGTCAACATCAGAGAGAGAGCTGGAATGGACCCTGGAGGTCATCTAGTAGCCCAGGGCCTTCATTTTAGCGAAGCGGAAACTGAGGCCCACGGAGGACACGCAACTGAACTTAGGCCATAAACAGAGAAGTGAAGGAGACAGACTCTAAGTGGCCAGCACATGCTTCTATTTGGTATTCTATTTATAGTTTCCAAGTAAAAATACTCACCTGTTGCTTATATTAACCACTTGGTTTCAAGCAAGGTTTCCAGGTAAGTAAGAATTCATAAAATGTGATGTTGGGTTAGAGGAGAGGGAGGATAGATGAATTTAAATTGAAAACGCTTATCTGAAGCTCTAATACCATCATCCTAAAGGATTCGACAGTCATATATTAACATACATCAAGACCTAAGAGAAGCGTTTCACGTATGCAGAGACAACTAATCTATATTGTTGCATTTATTTTGGAAATAATCATAAAACAAATCACACACAACTTCAGAGAAAATGCTATAGCCATATTTTCTAAGTTACTTGTTGTTTTTATGACTCGCCATACCAAAGAATTTCAGAAATACCAGAGGGAGAGCATCAAACAAAACTTGATCAAGATAGCTTGTTTGTTATTATTCATGCTTGCTGGTTAACAAAAATTTCTCATTTTTAGCAGGATAAAATATGCTTCCTTAGAAGTATTTTTTTCTCAGAAAATCCTAATTACAATAGTATGGGAGAAAAGACTAAAACAAAAATATTTTCCAAACATCTGCGTAAACACTGTTTTTACAAAAATTTTGTAAGTGAGAAGGTAACCAATATACTTAATATAGTCACTAGTTTCAGCTCCACCTCACTTAATGCTTTACAACTAAAAATTAAAGAAAAAAATTGGTCAAGCATATATTTTGAGGAAAAAGAGTGAGCAACAGAGATACAAATTATTAAGTGCATGTGTCAAATATATTTCTTCCCTACTTTCAAAAAATATTAGAAAACTTACAGTAAAAGATAAAGCAAGAGTGTCATTAAAACCAATATAGAAGAAAATTAAAAGCCATAGAGGAATGAGGAATAAACAAAACTCTCAATTATTACAATTACTATAACTGTGCATTAATTTCAACTCTAGATTTCCTAGAAATTAAAGCTAAAATGGAAAAGATGACAGTTTATACAATTCTTTTCTGACAAAAAAAAGCATGCTGGTTCATGAAGGGAATTTTCTCCCCCCTTGGACCTAAATGCTAGGAAAAATTTGTCATCCTTGTGAAAGAAAACATGAACAAATGGATAAGAAATTCGATGATGTATTTGTAGAAGCAGCACAAATGTTCATAGCACACTCAATAAACAAGAGCAAAAAATAAGCCCTCTTTGTAGTTAGGTCTAAAGATGTCCATTTATTTTCCATTTTTCTTTTTATCTCTTTAAAAACTCATGGTCTTGGTCCTGGCTGGGTAGCTCTGTTGGTTAGAGTGTCATTGTGATATGCCACGGCTGTGGGTTTGATCCCCAGTCAAGGCACATACAAGAATCAAACAATGAATGCATAAATAAGTGGAACAACAATCAATCAATATCTCTCTCTCTCTCATTAAAACTGAAGAAAAAATTTAAATAATAAACTTATTGACGTTTATTATTTCTTTTCTGAAGTTTATTAAACGTCAATAAGTTTATTATTTAACTTCATTGAATATACGACTCATTGAAGATACGACTCTACCTATAAGATGCCACCAATGAACCACCACCGCTATAAATCGGGCACTCTTTAGTGGCTGATGCTTCCCTTACCGCATCACTGCAGGGAGTTTCCCCTCTGGGAAGTGGGCAACTCTTCCCCAGTGTTGGACAACCAAGCAAAACTTGAAAGACAGGTCCTAAAACTCTGGTCCAAATGCTTCCAAGTTTGAAGACTTCATTTTTATTAATAAAATCTGTCAGAGAGTTTCATAATGTTTTTAGATTCCATTACTGCTCTGGTTAATTTTGCTTCTGGAGGTGTTTGGGGGTGCGGTGGGGGCTATATAAAAGGGTTTGGAATCTCAACTTTTCACTAAAGTCAAAGTAAGTAGATATATGCCCGCCTACTTAAATATTTCCTCAAGTGAGAAACAGTAACAATAAACTCACCTTCAGAATCTCTTCCACACAATGGACTTCATTGGAATAGGTCTGCTAAAAGTAAAAAAGGAAAAACAAATTAGCATACAAAAAATTACAGTATTAATAGATGCTGCAATTAATACAGCAATACTCTCATAAGGGGAATCACCTCAGGACCCACCTTGTACTTGCTAAATATTAGGAACTTTACACCTTGGATGAACTAGAACAGAGGAGATTAACCTGACTTAATCATGAAGGAGCGGGTTCTGCTGGATACAATCACAGACTCACCATGACCTCCAGGTCAAAAGTTTCAAATATGGAACCTAATCAACAAACAAGCAAGCAAAATAAAACCAGCAACATTGAAATAAAAAACAAATTGACGAGAAGGGAGGCAGGAGGGGGTAATGGGGGAAAAGAAGGGGAAGGGGCAAGTCAAGGAACATGTAAAAAGGACCCATGAACAAAGCCAAAGTGGGGAAGGCTTGAGGGTGGGAGGTGGGAGTGAGCGGGGCAGGGGAAAGTGGTGGTTGGAAAGTGGAGACAAGTGTACTTGAACAAGGATAAAAAAATTAAATTTAAAAAAGTTTCCAATGGAAAATGTATATAGTATAGAAATTTATTATATTCTTAAATCCAGGGGAATAACGAATATAACAAAGGTGGAGGCAGAAAGAGACGACTCAGAGCCAGTGTCACAGATTGCGCCTTCACAGCAACATCTGTCCAGTGAGCCAAGTTAAAGGAACACAAAGATGGTAATGATCTGAAGGCCTTAGCGTAAGCCCACAGTAAGGAGGCCAACATCCAATTAAGGTTAAAAATTTTGGTAATATTTTAACCTGACAAAAATTCGTTTTAAAGCTAAATGTCTCTAGCTGCACTTCAGGTCAGCGTTTTGATCTTTCATATGCATATTATATACACATATACATACAAATATGTACATATATACAGACACACACAATATTTCCCCAGAGAAAGACACTAAGGAGAGAGATTACATAGTGACTTGGAGGAAGGATCCACTAGTTGTACCTCCTCCTTATCCCCACCTAAAGAAACGATGGTTGCTTCTGCTAATACCACCACAGAGAGTGTCTAGAAAATGTCATTTTACAGTCTTTATATTTTTAAGTGCAAAGGAAATGGAAAAGTTAAATCTTTTAAAGCAAAAAAACAACAACAAAAAAAAACCCCAAAAAACCAAAAACAAAAAAAAACACCCAAACCCAAAACAGAAAAAGCTTTCCCTGAAAGAGAGACATGAAACAAAACCCATGACTTCAGTAACTTCTGATGGGTGTCAATCTGTGAGCCCCGCGCCCTGGGCAAGCTCTGTACCACACACGCCCCTCCTATTGCTGCCACTGCTATGCAAAGCGCTGGTCCTCCTAGTCAATTTGGAGCGATATCTGATTCACAGCTAGAGTAGATGGAAGAAGGTTCTTTTCCTGGCTCTTATTTCTAATTTGAGTGTAATTTAATACAGCATTGCCTGCTAATGCCTGAATTAGAGTTTACATATCTGTTTCCTTCATACTAGTTTATTCTTATAGGAAGAAGGAAAAAGGAAAGAAAAGAACATACAATATTCACACTGTCCTGGAAGCGAGTAACAGACATGTCAAAATTCAAATGTGATTTGACCTGTCTGAGTCCATTTTTAAAGCACATAAATTTCATGGAACGGGCTTTATTGAAATATTTGCAATTTGTTATTTTTGAGGTAGGGCCTGGAAGTTAGGAGGTATAATCCTGGAATCGTGGATATCTTTTTTATCTGCTGGTCCTACCTGACCTGCTTGCAGGCATTATGCATGTTAATAACTAGACCTGCTTACCCACTTCTTGTTTTCAAAACCACTAACGGATGCTTAAAATCTGAACCAAACATTAGCAGTAATGTCACGCTGTTTTGTCATTTCTGCTAAAAATAGCATTAGCATAAGTGAATGCTGTTTTGACCTGAGGGTAAAATGTAATTATATTCTATGGTCTCAATTTTTCACATGCATCATTAGGAAAAACAACCATTAGAAGTTGAAGATGAATCAACAGAACAGAGCATGTGACTGTACTAACTCTGGTCAAACAGTCGCCTCATACTATCCATTGCTGGAATGAGCAGGGGAATCCAATTAAAACATCTGACAATGAAAAAGTGAAGCATGCTGGAATGAGGGCAAAAAATCTCACTGCTTCCAACAGAGTGAGATTGAGAGGCTACAACTGCAGGACACGAAAAGACTTTCTAACCTTTGTAATGACTCAAGTAGTCAACACTTAGCCAAGATGTTTCACGTCACTGAAAGATTCTTTTTTTCCTACATTTTTATTACATGAGGCTGACAGCTCTGGGGGTGGGGTGTGGGGGCGGAGCAGAAAAGGAGCAGCACTCACCCACCGGGACTGCAGGCGGTGCTGGGCGGAGCGTGAGAGGGGGTGGAGGGCGGGGAAAATGGTAATAGGAAAACACAATAAAAAATAAACTATTAAAAATAAAAATAATAAATTTTTATTACATGAGACAAACCAGAACCGAAGACATTTTTCTATAGCTTCTTGTTTATTAGTATCGAGGTAAGATACACATTGCTAAACAGCTACCATGTGACCTATTAAAAATTCTAGATGAGTTCTTAGGTTCAAGCAGTAACTGGTTAATTTGCTGTGAACTTTCCTATGAGGTCATTACAGAAGTGGGGATATTTGAAAGGGGTTTAGGAATGCCATTTCAAATACCTGAGAATACATCATAGTTAAAGATCTCTAATCAGTACTGTTTATAATGGCGAATAACTGGAAATGATCAATGACCAATAATAGCAGTCCAGCTAAAAAGCTTCACAGTACACCTAGCAGTATGTTATGCAGACTTAAAATAATAATGTAAATATATGTGCTTGCATGGAAAAATGCTAAGATATATAACTTTTTCTTTAGAAATTTCACACTTACAGAAAAATTTCAGAAATAGTAAAAGGAATCTCCACAAACCCTTCAAACTCCCCAAATGTTGGCATTCTACCACATTTGTTTTATAGTTTTCTCTACCTCTACCCACCTGCACATCTACACTGAACTATTTGTAAGTTAGAAAATTAGAGTCAATGCCCCTTTTCCCCTGAAGACTTCTGTGTGCACCAAGATACATTTAAAACCACATCGAAAAGAGGGCAGGTAAGGACACAGTCTGTATATCAGAGCCCACTTTACGTCCCATCTACCTGAGATTTGTAGCTCCACTCTTCCCCCAAATCAGAGACTCTGCAACTAGAGTATAGCTATTTCAGATGTGCTTGCAGAGCAAGATCTAGAAGAAGAGGCTGCCTTGTTTAATTAAGTACAACTTGGCTCCTCCAAGTCTGCCACTGGAAGGAGACTTTTCCAAAAAGGGAGGGTCTCAACAATCCATTTCAACAATCCAGTTCAACAATTCATTGTGACCTTATCCCTCGCAAAAAAGTAAAATCCACTGTCCCCACTGGCTCTCCAGCTGAGCACCGCCACTCAGGCGCAGGTGCCCCCTTTCACACTGTGGCCAAAGAGGAAGCAGTCAGCCTCCCTTAAGAACAGGTGAGTTAAAGCTGAAGATCTTCAGTAAGACATCCTTAAAGAATGAGAGAGGATAAAAAGCAGTAACAAAAATCTATCCTAGTTGCATGAATCAAGACGCTGTAGTTCAAAGGGCACTTACAACTACAAATCTCACTGTTGTCTCCCCCCTTCAATAGCTCGGTGCCCAGGAGACAGCACTCCCCTCCTGGCGTCCTGAACGTAGAGAGACCAACCAGCAGAGACCTCACTTCCTCAATGGGTATGGTCTCAGCACAAAACCATAATTTTATTTTTTTTTAAAGATTTTATTTATTTACTTTCAGAATGAGGGGAGGGGACAGAGAAAGAGAGGAAAAGAAACTTCAATGTGTGGTTGTCCCTCGCATGCTCCCTACCAGAGACTTGGCCAGCAACCCAGGCATGTGCCCTGACTGGGAATCGAACCGGCAACCCTTTGATTCACAGGCCAGCACTCAATCCACTGAGCCACTCCAGCCAGGGCTTGCTTGCTTTATTTGTTTGTTTGTTTGTTTGTTTATTCATTCATTCACTCACTCACTCATTTATTTATTCGAATGACAGCAGCTATTGGGCTGGCCAAAAAGTTCATTTAGTCTTTTTCATATGATGGCTCTAGTAGTGCTTAGTTGTCTTTAACTTCATTCAAAACAATTTTGTTAGACTGTATTGTGACAGCTGTCATGTCAGGGTGCATTTAAAAAAAACATTAAAATTGGTGAATTTTTGTGAAGCTATTTTAATATTGAAGATTGAAGAAGAGACACAGCATTTTCAGCATATTATGCTTTATTACTTCAAGAAAGGTAAAACGCAACTGAAACGCAAAACAAAGAAAAAGATTTGTGCAGTGTATGGAGAAGGTGCTGTGATTCATCGAGTGTGTCAAAAGTAGTTTGTGAAGGTTCTTGGCACTATTGACATTTTGGTCAAATAATTCTTTGCTGTGGGGCTGTCTTATGCATTGGAAGATGTTTAGCAGCACTCATGGCCTCCACGCTCTAGAAGCCAACAGCAAGAGATAACTGACATATTCAAAACATCCCAATCGATGAAGTTATTGGTGAAAATGAAAAATGTGTTTTTATTTTACAGAAAAAACCATATGGATTTTTTGGCCAACCCAATACTTACTGACTACATATTGTACTTGACAGTGCATTAAACTCTTTATATACTATTATTTCCTCCATTTGAAATCATCTATTGTAAGATTCACGGTCATTAGCTTGGCAGGGGGAGAAAGCTACTGTGCTGAAGGAACCCATCAACTCTAGACACATCCCTTAGTACAGAAAACTTCAGACCAGAAAAGGTGGCAATGATGGCCTTGGTCTGATTTCTCACTCCTCTTGGAATAACACTGTGTAATCATAAGGAAATGCACTGACTCCAAAATAAAATAGTTAGTAAATGTCTTCTAAGCACTACACAGTTTGTTTTAATAAGCTAAAAAGAACCGGACGGAAGACATATACTTTACCACT